CCATCTTGCCCAGCAACCAGTGCTTGGGCGCGTTCAGACGCTTCATGTGCTTCTTGGGGCCGCGACCCTGTTGCCGACGTTGGTTGCCGTTGTTGTAGCAGGACACCAAACAACGAGGTTGAACGTCGAAAGATGTTTAGTTAGATTCCGGTTGAGTGTAGCAGTAGTTCAAAAGGTTGATGCCGTGTTGAGGGATCAAGAGTTGGGAATTTCGTCGAAAACCTGAGCGATTACAGAACAAGTTGGACGAGTTCGTCGGATGCCAATGGTCCATGCACTGTTCGTGGCAACTTTTGGGAAGCAGCCACGCCGATCGCGGAGCACGCCAATGTTCAACGCTTCAACATTATTTGGGATCATCGTCGACTGCTGTGTGAAGCGATCCAAGATAGGGCAATTCATGGCGATTCTAGTATCGTTACTTTGAGGTCGTGCCTCCTCTCGCATGGCGGTCGTGCCCGCTTCACACGATGCGTGGATACAAACCAAACTACTTGTAATGGAGACGCTGGCATTGCGAACATGACGTTGATGGTCTTCGGCGAACAGCAGTTCTGGTTTTGTAATCTACAGCCAACAGGGGTCGATTTATTCTCACACGACTCGAATCTCCACACACTGTAGTTCGGCTACTACCCATTGCTGCCCCTTCTTTTCCAGCATATCCGGGCCCTCTACTGTACGTAGACGTTGAGCGTGCTGTAGGCCCACACACATGTGTAGAGAAAGAGAGCTGATGTCCCGATCAAAGCAAGGGGGCATGTCAGATAGAGGAAACGTTGTCGTTGCGTCAAGAAACTTCTTGCGCCCATTTGTATTGATGTGGAGTCATGGTACCACGCGCCCTTCCACCGCTTGCATACAGCACAAGCAGGCATTCCATGCATCAGTCCGCTGGACCAGTGCACAAGACGTTCTTTGCAGAGATGAAATTATCCATCTGTTGATACAACCGCTAGAAGAAAGGATGAGGGTGCCCGATCCCGGCCGGAGCAAAAAAGTACCATGCTGGATAGACTTTGCCCGAATTGGAGCGGTGTACCCACCAGGCTGGGGATTGACACTGGTCTTTTGACACTGTGCTACTATGCATCTGCACCCACAAAATAGCACCTCAGGCGCTTCGATATGTTGTGTCAAGGGGATAAACGTGTTCTTCACGTCAACGGGCGCAAGGTGTGGGGCAAGTGTTCCCTGCGTGAGAGATACTTCCTTGTAGCATAGAAGTGCTGTAGATGCCCCCGATCAAGACGATTGGTGGATTACAGACCGAGAGGGGTGCGGAAGAGTGCCATTTCCCTCTCTCGTGCGCCTTCCCTTAGCCATGGTTGCAAGCACCAGAGCATCCGCCCGCTCCATGCTCCGTCGCACAAGCCAGCCATCCCCGTTCCAACCCCAGCCGACCCCCATCAGTCCGTCGGCACAGCCACAAACGAACCTCTGCCACTCTTGTGAGGGAGAGCTGTCGTGGGGTGGGATTGAGGCACATCCCCACGCCACCAACAGCAGCAACATCTCAAGCCAAGCTTGAGCATTGCTACCATAGGGGTCAAACGTTCTATGAGCACACCTACACACACGCGTGTGTGTGCATCGGTGGTTGGATGCGCACCATGGCAGCAGAGAGCACACAGTACACGCTGCCTTCGCGCTCGCTGCTGTCGCGCTCTCTCGTTGCCATCGAAACCATAAAAGCACATCTCTCCACACAGACAGGACGCTTTCGCGAGATAGATACGAAGAACCGACTCTCTGCGCGTGGCGGAAGGGGAAGTAACACTCTCCGCAGACGGTGCACTTACCATGGTGACGTTGTGTTGGGGGGAATACCCGAAGACTACCGAGTGTGACCACAGCAACGCAGCTAGCCCAGCCTCCCTCCACAGCCTCTCGTGAAACTCGCCCGTGGTATACATGCCTCCATACAATCAGGCCGAAACGACCTACCCCCCCCAAATCGTATTTTTTCTCCACGGGATGACCCCTCCCTCCGAGCTGCCTCTCCGTGGCACCCGTGGCGATGGAGCTGTGGGTGGCACTCTGAATTTCGAAGGCAGCCCCGCCTTCGTCGTCAAACAAGCACGAGTTAGGAGAAGGAAGAAGTTGAGAGGTTGACGCTCGGGGGGTTAGAATAGAGCGCTACGAGCCGCAACAGAGAGCGTTATGCCGAAGAACAAGGGTGAGTTGTTTTCAGTTTGCGTAGTAGATACGCAAGGGCGTTTGATTTGTTGGTGAGAGATGATGCTGTGTGGTGATGTGTGATGTATGATGATGTCGTCATCGTCCTTCGGCGAGGCTTGGTTTTGAACCAAACCGGCAATAGGCACACATTACTAAAGCCACTCTACCGATTTCGTAGCCTGCGTTCCTTACAGGACACTCTTTGCCTATTGGACCGACGCTGCTGGTGGTTGCAACCACGAGCGACTGCTGTAGACGCCAGCCAAATTAAAAAAATTAAGTTGTACACATCGTATTCTAATGCCTAGACTAGTGTATCGTATCGTCCCTCATTTCAAAGGTTACTTCGGGAGCGGAAACATTTATGGCAGCAGCAGCGCATACTTCAGACGGTTTACGTGATCTGGCCGTGAAGATGCCGCACGTATGTAGGGCTCCTTAATTTCGCTTTTTTGCCTTTCATGGGGTTGCCTTGTTTGACATTCACTGAATTGTATGCCACTATAAATATTTAGTGCAGGCAAGTCCAAGAAGTTTCGGCGATAGTTTCGCCGCCGCAGCCAAGAGAGTTGGTTTGTCAAGCCAACTTCAACAGCACGCCCGGCGTACTTGCTAGGGCGTGTGCAGTCTACGTTAGCCCCACCCACTACCATCATGCCCTGCAATTGTTTTTGTTTTGCACATGCCAACCCAAATATGGCGCGAACTCTATTTTGCCGCTTGTGTGCCCATCCGCGCTTCGCGCTTAGGACACGCCAGCGGTTGACCGTACAAACAACACTCGTTTGACCCTATGTAACTGCTGGCACACTGGCGCCGCTTGCGTGTGCGCACCGTCGTCGCTTCAATTACACCGGGCCGTCAGAATTGCAAGTACGTTTCACTGGCTTCGAGACAAAGAAGTCCGCAATCACTGCTGCTACTGCTGTTGCTGCGGAAAAATTCACCACCGTCAGTGCGCTTTTCCCGAGAACGTTCTGCATACGAAACGACCACGACTAATTTTGAGAATGTACTTCTAACAACAGTAGTAGTCTGGAACAAACTTTCAAATAGTCTGCTTGAGCCCTCGTACATCCCGTTGCAGGCTACTATCAGTTTATGGCAAGACTTCTCAGTCAGCGTGACTGGTGGGGCGTCGGTGACCCCGGCTGCCCGAAGTTGTGTGTGCCCTAGTCCTGATTTTGTTGCCATGCAACTCCTTTGTAGCTTCCAGCTGTTCCCTACTGAAGGGTGGAGAGGTTGATGCCCTCCGAGCTGGCCATAACTAGTGTTGTTGGAAATCTTCCGATTGTGAAAGGCTTGCGCATCCTTTACGATCGAAGAACCGGTTGAGTTGATCGACATGTTCTGTTCTCGACAGGAACTGCTCTTCGATCGTAGCTCTCCGGGGGGGTTGTGCAAAATCTGTTGATCGACAGAATCTGTTGCTCGATCGCAGCTCTCCGGGAGGTTACGGAAGTCTCACCTTGCCGGTAGACTCCAATAACAACATTGGCCAGCTCGGAGGGCATGGACCTCTCCACCCTTCAGTAGGGAACAGCTGGACGGGGCTTCAGAGAAGCCACATGGAGTAAGGAATTAGGAACAGGGTACAACGCCCCACCAGTCACGCTGATTTGGGTAATCTTGTGGATTGCCTTTTATCCAACGAACCGTGTGCTGTTGGCCTTCCAGTTACGGCATGACTTCCCTGGCCGGCCCCTCGACCGCTCCCTCCTCCAGTTACGTTTCCTGTTCCCACTGTCTCTCTCTCTCGGCCTTGCTGACTACCACCATCCCTGTATCTCGCCCGAAACGGGCTTGCCGCACCGTGCGCAGTTGACCCGAGTAGCGTAAGGGAACCTCTTCAACCGTGTTTTTCTTTGTTCTTTTCCTTTTTGCAGGAAAGGGCGGTAAGAACCGTCGGAGGGGAAAGAACGAGAACGAGGAGACTAAGCGCGAGCTCGAGTTCAAGGAGGCCGGCCAAGAGTACGCGCAGGTAGGTGTGGTTGTACTTGGTTAGAAGAAGCCGTTTTAGCTATAATGGCGGGTTCTCAAGTAAATGTTGTGACGTCGCTCGTACGCTTGCCGCGCGGTGTGTTGTTCGTGTTGTATCTAGGTGGATCAATGGTTAACAGCAGCTTTGTTGGTTTCTCGTGGGCGGGTTCATTAGTAGACGTTTTCGCGTCATCACTCTCACGCTTGCCGCATCACTCTCACGCTTGCCGCAATTGTTCTTACGTGGCTTGCTGTTTGAGACAGTTTGGATTTTGGCGCTTGCCCTCGCTTCTTGCCCTGTCGTGGACATGTCACACTGGGGTCACGCGTGGCCGGGGTGACTCGAGCGGGTGAACCGTTGAAAAACGCGCCGGCGGTGCCTGGCACTGTCATTAGTTATCTGTTGCGTGTTCTTCTACTCCTCTGTTGCTGCTGCTCGAACGAGACACGCATCCCTCAATCCATACATCATTGAGGGAGCACCACTAAATTGGCGGCGGGACCCACTGGCGGGAAATCTGTACAGGAGTAGTCTATGTTTCGTTTGAGTTGAGGATGGCTTTTTGAGCGTGGATTAGGATTATGTTGATGTCGAGAGCCCTTGCTCTTGCCAATCTCAGTGACCCCCCCCCCCCCC